AGTCAGTGGAAGGGATTCAAGTCACGAGTGCCTAGCGATAGGGTTTAGTTCGTATGAGTGGCTGATCGGCTAGTTGGTTAGTGTTGAGCGTTGGGCTAATACTACTGGTTGGTTGACTAGTTAGGGTTAATGTCAATAGTGGCACTTGTGAGTGTCAGGTTTAGGGCTAATACCAGTGGTTGGTTGACTCGTTGTTTAATATTATGGTTAAGGTCAATAATAGTGGCTGGTTGGTGAGTGTACACGTGGTTGGTTGGCTACATGGCTAGTGTTCAGGTACTGGTAGGAACCACCTGGTTCCACCAGCCCATAGAGGATTATTGCGTCCGTCCGTCCGTCGTGCACCAAAAAATGGGAGGGGTGGGGCTGGCTGGAGAGGGTGGGGAGGGGCTGGGTGGGGGTGGGAGGGGTGGGGCTGGGTGGGGAGGGGCTGGGTGGGGAGGGTGGGGCTGGGTGGGGGGGGAGGGGTGGGGCTGGGTGGGGAGGGGCTGGGCACCCCGTGGTGCCCTTATAAAACTCAACGTTTAACCTACTCACGCCGGCTTGTGGCCGCCCTCACAGTTGGCCATGTTTGCGGAATACACCACGCCGCCGTTGACCCTGGCCATTGACCGAGCAACCCAACGTTCCTACCAGCTCCCTCCGCAGGAATGTGTTTAAGGCTTGTACTAGTGGTCGGTTCGCGAGTTGGTTAGTGTTGGGTGTATGACTATAGTACTAGTGACTGCTTGGTTATGTGGTTAGGGTTAGGACGAGTACTAGTGGCTGGTTCGGTGGTTCGGGTTTAGGCTATTTGTAGTTACCGAGTTAACGGTAGTAACTCAGTCGACTGCAACTACTTCGACTCGATAACGTTCAATGATCACATCCAGTGACTTACACGAAACACCACGCATCACGATACATTTAGTTTTCTGAATTTATTTTGACCAATTCACAGCTCTGAGAATCTTTAATAATAAAAATGTCGGTGTCGCTGTGATGTGACGAACATTCACTCTCAGCGTTAGAGCAGTGGCCGTGAAGTGCTGGACTCCGCTGTGTGGACGTCCCTCAAAAGTAGTTGTGAGTATCCACTTCCGTGGGCTGTTTTCTAACAGGGGGGAGGGGGGGATTTCACTGCTCTCTAAAGAGTTCCGAACGCGTTCCGCCTTCTCGTGACAGGAGCAGCAATGAATAGCACAAACCGGGATAACATCTGGAGGAAAATACCAACTAATGTTTTAAAATGACAGTGAAAACCCACGTAATGCGATGATGTATGGCTCGGCTTGTTAGGCCGATGCAGGTGGAGCTCCACAGCGTTACAGTTGGGACATTTGACATGGAACCGAAATTCACAGCCCGAGTTCGGTGACATAAACAATTAATCATCCCGGCAATGCGATAAATTGTCGCGATTTAGGGTCATGATTTATAGATATTATATTGTCTTTACCGTCTCGCTTGTACTATGCGTCACGTTTTGATCGCATTCTATCCTGTTATTGCTACAGTATAAAGGAACAGACGTGAGAATTACATAAATTAGCATTTAATTAACCGTCAGATGTGCGATTCGATGCAGTGACATGGGGCCATGGGTGGAAAAACCCGATTTTTCCAGCGGCAGGCATCGGGTTTTTTTTCTTTAATACAATTAAACCCAATTTCGGGGAATTAAAACCTGGTTTAATGAATACGAAACTCTGATAGGCTTAGGCTGCTTCCTCGTCGGTGCTGCTATCGTACTCGGGGGGGGGGGGGGGGGCGTCGGGCACGGGGTAGTCGTAGAATGCGGCGGGCAGGTTGGTCGTGATGAACACGAGCTTCTCCTCCACAATCGTGGGCGCCAGTGAGTTCCTAAGCTTGGAATGGATGAAACCCATCGTTGAGAAGTTGGCGAAGTGCGGTTCTGCAATTAGAACCAATTAACCCGGATTTCTCCCAATCTCAGATGATCGGGTTTAATATAAAGACAATTAAACCCGATTGTCAAACACCCGACTGTGCCACCCTTGCGTGGGGCACGAGATTCCAAGTTGGTTGTCCATGGTTTACGTGCGTGCTTCTTTCCAAGTGAAATCTCACATTGACGGGAAGAGGCTTGCCAAGGCGTAATCAGATTACACGTGGATAAGATTCAACAAGTCACCCGATTCCATTCAAAGAGGCGTGTTCACAAGCACATTGGACGTGACCACGGGTCAAGGCGATTTGGACTTGAAAAATGTTTGGATGACATTTTCAGTCGGTTTCAGTGCCTTGAGTTTCGGCGCCATCTGGTGATACCGGTAAGTAACTACACTTGCAACATACATTCGGCGTGGCTATTCAAAGGGTGTGCGATCATTCTGGCCCCTTGGGTCACGTACACGACCCACAACTTCCATCTCACACGGCCCGTGACCCCGTGGACCTTCCACTTCTAAATGGCTCACAAACGATATGTATCCCGTCACCGCACGCATCATAACCGCACTATAAAGGGGGCCACATTTCCACCTGCCAAGTTTCTAATCACTTGTCACTCCCCGCGAGGGCTTCTCGCAGTGGCATGTGACCGAGATTGATGGACGTTGCTTTCGGCTCTCTGTGAGAAATATTCCCACCCCCCCCCACACATGAAAGGGCGACCAGCTGAGAAAGTGTCAGTCGGCTGTGCTCTGACAGCGGCTGTCCTCACGCGACCATCAAGTCAAGCAGAACCCCCCCCCCCCACCCCAAGAAATAATTACCCAGACAAAAATAAAAACCTGTGGGTTATTAAAGCAAAAATTGTTCTTAGCAGCCTTGCTTAAAAATGATTCGACTCACCTGGAAAACACAGCAACATTGCCACATACTGTAAACGTATCAAAATACCTATTGAAAGTTATTATAGGTAAATGCATTTTATATCATTTTCATAAATACACCCAAGTTTCATGAGTTACTGTTATCTTATCTGATATATACTGTATCGATTTATATAGCATCTTGTTTCAAGGCGCTTTACAACAATTATACAATTGCACGTAAGATAGTGGTTGAAAGAGTGGGTTATTAAAAGTGGTGTAGTTATCGTGACAGAACAGGCAGGGAGTGATAATTGTTTTTTTACCCTTTTATCTGGCAACAAAACTGACACCTTTTTTTACAAGGGCTCATGTTTGCATTGACCACAATACCTGCTGTCGGAATGCAAACAAAAAACACAACTCTGATAATGATATGCAATGTCCTTTAAATTGATTGGTCCACACCCGAGACAGCTTTTCTTAGAGCCTCGTCTCACATGGTGTTGGACCAGATGACGCAAAAAGGCGCACAAAAAAAACCCAATTATGATATTTTGCTACTGGCAAAGGAGGTTCCAATGGTGTAAAGTGGTTAAGAAGGGGTTGGGGTAGTGAGAGGTAGTGAAAGGGGATTGGGGTAGTGATGAGAGTTGGGGTACTGATAGGGATTGAGGTCGGCTTGGTCCTAGCTGAGGGGCAGCAAGTAGCAGGAGATGGGCTCGGCCAGGGGTCGGAGCCGCATGCAGCTCTTTAAGGACTGCTTCGTGATGTTATGTATTAAGGACCGTTTCGTATTGCATTGAAATAGCATGCGAATACCGATTTCGAAGTCTCTTCTCGTTATTTTGGTTGCCGACCCTGGGGCGAGGGAGAAGAGGTGGGGTTTAAAGGAGGAACGTCAGCAGGTTAGTGAAGAGGAGTGTTTGGTTAGGGAAGGCTCGACTTGAATGGTCAGGGCATGTGTTAAGAGACAAAGCTGCCGCAATGAGAGGGGCTGAGATGGAAGGTTGCCTTGGGACGAGAGGTGATGGCAGACGCGACTCGAGAAGGGGCAGAGATAAACTTCATAAGACAATTTGAGCAGCCAGTCCTATGCAATGGCACTTTTAAGAATTCAAATGATCCCAAAATGTGCTTCATTAAAATGTATTCAGCTGGCACCTTGATTCAAATAAAAATGTCACGTTATGAAAGTGTAATTGGGTTCATTCTAGATTTGAAGCTTTTGGTTCTCTCGGTAGTCACGTAGGTGAGATTATCTTTATTTTTTACCTCCGTGACTTTACCGAAAGAACCGAAGAGTATGTAATTGGGTTGCCACGTTAATGAGTTGAGTTTCATTCATGACTGCCCAAATCCACTCGTGGAAAGTTGGAACACTTCACGGACCAGATACCACACATGCCACTCGAGTTTCACTTCACACGAGAAAACTACACATCTAATAAGGGATAACTCTACAGTACTTGCTTTTCTGGAATCTTTATATTCTTGGGTCTTTCAATAAAGTCACGTAGATAGGTTCAAAGAAAATAACAAAAAACTACCTTTTGATCGCAACACAAGCAATCATATGAGAATAGGTTTTCCCTTTATGGCAACAAAACAGGTGAAGATGTTAAAACACCAAACTGAAAACTGTTACAAAAAAATCATCTCTGCATTAACCACAATACTTGTGGTCAGAATGCAAACAAAAAACACTAATAATATTTGCATTGTCTTTGAAACTGATTGGTCCACACCAGAGATAGGTTTCTTTGGAGCCAAGTCTCAAAGCGGTGTTAGACCAGAGGACGCGAAAAGGCGTACAGCACAAAGACAATGCCACTATCAGTCATGCGAGCTCGGGGTGAGCAGCTACATCATGGGACCTCCAAGCAATCGTCCAATAATTTTTTCTCCCGATGATGATTGCTTGTGCTGCGATCGAAACGTCGTAGTTTTTTGTATTTTTTAAAATTTTATTTTAACCTATCTACGTGACTTTACCAAAAGACCCAAGAATATGAATTCCTGCAATCACGAACGCTTTAAGTCAAGTTTTCTGTAATCTGTTTAAGAAACTATATTTACATGTTCATACATCAACCCATACCTTTGATGTATCAAATACTTGCCATCATTCTAAAATATGAAATGCCCCCCCCAAGGCATGCTAACATGCCACCAAACACGATGGTTGGTTATTCAAACGTGATCCTAATAAAGTGTGCGGCATGTAGACTCCACTGCGAGAACGAAATTAAAAAATGTTTTATTACTAAAACTGACATTTCACACATCATTGCAAACTGGACTCTGGGAACTTAAAATAACTTTTTCAGAACATTCCACATCCTTTCCAAATCAGCTCCTGCAGTACAAATCAGACTTACCATCAAAATAACTTAGATCAAACGAGGGATCGGTCATTTAACAATGGGGAGGAAAGGGGCCATTGGCTGTGATTTTAAAACCAAAGCTCACGAGGGAATATCTTCCACCGCATGCGTAACATTCGGGTTGCAGCAAACAGGACATCTACATTTGAAGTACGGTCAAAAATCTCCCCCGCGACACACATGGTGTGGGCAAGGCCTTTAGCCAGCAGTGAATTGACAAAGGGCTGTAACGAGCACAATGGGGCAAAGTAGGAGGTGAACGGTTATTTTTGTAATACCACGTCATCCTAAGTTTCCACATAGACCAACGTGCGGCAAACACGAGGCCGTTTTCTCGCCACCCCCCCTCCGCCCGAGCGACTCATTTGAAAAGTGCCGCCACCTTGGCTGCAGCTGCGCGCAAAACAGTTCTGTGGATCCCTGCTGGGGTCAACTCGGCTTGAAAGGAAACACGCTGGGAGTGGTGGGTCACTTCACCGGTTTTTTCGTGTTCATCGTCAGTCTTTTAAGGTGTCTACTCCCTACACAATTGATGGCAATTCCCAAGCAGTGAAAAGTTATTTATGCAAATTATTTAATATATACTGCACAGCACGTCACTGCAGTGGAAAGGAATGTTAATATTTTGCGGCATTAACTGTTAAGTATGTATGAAATTACGTATGAATGTAGAACCTCCTTTGCACCGTACGTAGCCAACCAAAAGAATCTAAGGTGCGGACAGCAGTTAGGTGTTAAGTTTGCATATTGTCATGTTGCACACTTGAATTATAATGCAGTTGTGCAATGAGATGTAAATACAAGCTGTGTGGAATAGCCCATCACCATCAGCGGCAATCCGTAGCTTCTGCAGGATTTATTATGAATAGTCCTTACATGGGCGAGTAATGTATTGTTTATTAACAATTAAAAACCACACCCACCTACTTATATCCGACGACAAGAGTAAAAAAAAAATCTACGTTATCGAAGCTACAACCCCAATGTACATTAACGGTTTAAAAATAAATTTTTAACAAAAAACACAATCGTGTTTCCAATGCATCACCAATAAACTGTAAATTACATTTTATTATTCTGATTGTTGGCGAGGTTAATAAGCAATTGTATCATATTACTAACATCTCTGTTAAACGCAAATTAAAGTCTTAAATGAATTTTCTCCGTCTCAGAAAAATCTCGTCCAAATACGTCGTCAATTTCTCGGAGGTGTTTTGAGGTCAGTTGGCACACGATGCCCAAAGTTTCGCCTCACGTGCTGGGACCTTCTCTCGCTTCCAGGACTGCAAAACGTCACGACACCGAGCAGAGCGACATGCGGTACGATCCGAAAACACTTCGTTAAGCAACGCAGCGAAAAACCGCCAAAATCTACAGTAGTTGCGAGGACTAAGTTGGCCGTGTACGGGAGATTCAAGGTCACCACCGCTGGCTGAAGGAAACACACGAGGTTGCGTCGAGGTCTTTGTGGGGTGGGAGGAGGGCGGTCACGTTGCAGGCACGGGTGAGATGGTGATGGGTGAGATGGTGATGTGTCAGGGAAGGGGGCGACAGGGAGGAAAGGGAGGAGGGGGAGACTTAGACGTTTTTGTCGATGCGCACGTCGATTTCACGCCCGTTGATGCGAATGCCGTTCAACATGTGGCAGGCCTTCTCAGCGACCTCGGGCGAATCGAACCGCACTGTGCCGCAGCCCTTCGACCGCCCGTTCTCCTTCTTGATGTCCGCAAACATCACCTGGCCTGCGGAGAAGCGGCAGGGGGAGGGGGGGAGAATTTCAAATACGCAAATTGCATTCGTGGGGACTAACGCCAACAGGAGCCATTCATTAACCCATCCCTCCGATACGTTTCCGGGTTGTGCTGCGTCTGGCATTATGTCTCCGACGTTTCGGAACACGTGGTACAACCAAAAAACAGAGCGGGGAGCAAGACAACACAATCAGAAAAATGTACGCATCTAGGGTTGTGTTACCGAGGGCTATCCAACAGAGATTTGAAGCTGTATTACAAGAGCTTCAGTGACATCACTACACTGACTTAACTAGATTGTTTTTGTTTTCTCATTTATGAAGCTGCAATTTCATATTGAGCAGTCCAGGACACATCGTTTCGCTCAGCGTCTATAGCAGAGTGCATTTGGTTACACGTTTCATTTAAAGCGCAGTACACTTTTACAAAGACGTTTTTGTCGCGTATGCGTTTTATTTATTTTGCAATGATGGCGAGTACACACACATTGTGTGCATAGTGCCTGAGAAACTTGGTTTCCATCTGTGTACCTGCATTCCGCAACAATACCCTCTGATCGATAATGCATGACCAATGGCCTCGCACTCGTAGTTATCAAAGGACAACACATGGTCAGTCAAGAACAAGGGCCTTGTGGCTTCCAGTCTGAGAGGCCATGTTCAGTCCTTTCGGTGGCATCGACATTTTACAGGCCAGTAAATGCACTGCTGGATGAAGGCCTCGCCACACCTTGACAGATCGGTAGTTACGCTCCACTATGCTGGGCAATGTGGGTTGGTGGAGGGCCACGACCAGTTTAGATGTCACTTTGCCACTGTTACATATGTATGTTGACTTCTTTTGCACCATAGGTAGCCAACAGTGCTAATCGGAGGTGCGGGGGACGGACAAACTAAACACAAAATGCAGGTTTAAACAAAAAAATGTTCAATCTAGATTTTAAAAAGTGCATAGATCCATATTCTTTGTATGCAGGTTGAGATGTGAGAAAGCAAGAGTCTTGAACAAGGATCTTACCACACTGGCTGAAGGTCTCCTTCAATTTTTGCCAACTCAAGTCAAAGGCCAGCTGTGGAGTAGAGATAAACACGGTTACTTTTCAAGTACAAACGATTAAAACAGTCACTTTACTCATCATATACATTAATATCTCGCACAAAGCATCAGGGTTAAGAATCCGTTTTTATGACATGACCGTTAAATGCATAATTACAATGAATTCATATCTCAGGGAATGGAGTCAGGGTCCTAAGTTTGAGTGCCAATCTTACATTTCGACACTGTTCAAGTGCCAATCTTACATTTCGACACTGTTCAATCGCTTAGACAGATATGTAGGTGTTTCTATCATTCACTTCTGTTGTTTTCGACGCCCCTAAATACAATTAGAAATACTGAAGGCACCGTTAAACCAGCACTGCTCGCTCGTTCTCAATAGCTGCCGCTACTGCGCAACGTACATTCCTGACGAAGATCTGGCACCCGCGGCGGTCCATGCGGTCGAGCGGCATGCCCCCAAGCCCGCTGGCGCCCATGTTGCCCACACCCCCTCCGTAGCCGTCCCTGTCGCGGGGCAGGCCGTAGATCCCGGCACCACCGCCAGCCCCGGAACCACGATCCATGTCCAGCACCGCGCCCAAGCCGTGGCCGTGGTGGCCCATGCCGGGGCCGCCGCCGCCACCACCGCCAACGTTGCCCATGCTACCCAGGCGATCCATGGAGCTGCCGATGCTGCCCAGGCCCATGCCGCCCATGCCTAGACCTGCGTTCGGTTGGGGAGTGGGAATAAGGTGGGATATGTGGCACGCAAGTTAATTATCTTGGGGAGTTTTCTTTCTGGCATCACACCGACACCATGTCCCACTTCCATGTTCACCAACCTTCCCCCTCGCTGTTCAAATACAAATTAGGTTGATTCACTCATTCTAACACTCCCCTGAAATTATTAGAAATTGTGAGGCAGAATGGTAAACAAAGGAGTACTCATTATATACACGCTGCATGCGCCTGATGATTGGTAAACACCTAATGGGACGCAAAGGCGATTTAAATTAGAAAGCTCGTGTATGTGCAGCTACATATTACAAATGACAAGATGACTCCGATTCAACTTAAGATCATTAAGATATTAATTTGACGGTGCTCTCTGGGGATCGCATGGAACAAATTGGACGATTACCAGACGTGTGTAGTGTGTAAAAACTTAGTTTGTATTTGGAATTGAGTCACGTGGCAAATATGCAAAGGACGCTTGCAACAATTTCAGCCCCTTGTGATTCCATGATTTGGCGTAACTCAAGGTCACCATTCGAGATTAAATAAAAACATTTGTGGAAAATCGTGACGTTTGATATCAGCAGGGGTCGCGTAAATATATTGAAGGTACATGAAACTAAAATTATGGATTTTTACAAGCGTCATTCAATGCACGTATTACGAGCGAAGGAACATTTCTATTGTGAATCGATGCATTGTGACACCCCTAATGGACAGGCGTAAAAAAGGCGAGTCGTGAGGAATTGCATTTGGAAACCCCTGCTTTGACAGCATAAAGTGGAGGAGTTTTGTCAAGGTCACGTAAGGAGAGGGAATCTTGGCAGACTTGCTCCAACAAGCCCACACAAGTTTGTGCGGGTTGTGCTCCGCAAATACACAATATAATTGATAACAGTAGGGATAAGCGCCCTTGTGTTTGTAGACGGCACCCATGATGAGTCGAGGCAAAGCCAAATTGTGCTTTGATGGTTGAAATTATGCCTTTGATTAAGTACTGATAGCAAAATGTGGCTTCATTGAGTATTTCTACAGTTTATTGCCATATACAACATGGATATTTACAACCCACAAATCGATGCATATATTAAGCCTGAGAATCAATCCTATGGATGAATCCAGGTATCATTACACCACCAAAAATGAATAGGTTCATCGCGTATGACTAAAAGTACACAAATTACAGCCCATTGGTAATCCACTGCCAGATGATGGTTATGACCACATCGTATCAACCGCGGAGGTTATTTGACCATACTTCACTATGCCAGTTGGGGCAGGTTGGAAGGGAATGCCTTTCGTGGAAGCCAAGTGCACTCTAAAGCAGCACACGAGGGTTCTGCCCGGGGGAAATAAACACCGCACGTCACCGAGACTGGGCAACGCGTGGGGGGGGGGGTTGCGACATAGCGGGCTACACGTACCACCCATCCCCGCTCCCATTGGCACCATGTTGCCTCCCATGTGACCGATCCCCGAGGAGCCCGAACCCATGGCCCCGACTCCCATGCCGGCACCGCCCATGCCCACGGCGCCCATCCCGCCGCCTGGAGGAGGGACGCGCAAGACAGAGGGAATATTCAACGATCGCAACACGCAACCACCCATCCGGAGCTCTGGAGGGTGTAAATGTGATGGCATCCAACGGCACTGTACAGAAACGGTAAGTGCGGGTTATTTTATAGAGGCGGTCCAGTCATAGGCAGAGGAAAATAAAATAAAGAAAAGGTCTCGAGCCTGAAATCTGAAACGGAGGCAGAGGGATTCGCCAGCACGGACGGCTGGAGTAAGGGAGGACCACACACTGTGGAGGCAACAAAGGAGTATGAACCACCTCTGACAGAGTGACGGCCGACTGTGGTGCATCAACAGCTCTTGGTTGCTGGAACAGTGTCTGGATGGGAGCAGAGTGCAATGGGAGTGGAGGTGTAAAGAACGTGAATGGAGGGAAGAAGAGAGAGGGGGAGAGGTAGGTAGAGGCAGGGAGGTGCGAGTCCATGGAGGATCTTGACGATGGCGGGCACCATCCTGAAATTGATCTGGCATTAGGATTGGAAGCCAATGGAGGGGGGGGGGGATTAGAGCATGGGTGTCATGGTCTCATTTGCAGATGCGGGCGACAAATTTGGCCGCGGCATTTTTGAGATGAGAGATTTGGGGAGGCCATGAAGAAAGGGAGTCGGTCGAGTGAGGACATGACGACGGCATGGACGAGGATTTCGGCGGCAGCAGCAGCAGGGTTCATAAGGCAAGGGCAGCTACAGGAGTTGGGCAATCACCAACATCTTTGTCCAATTAGGGGGTAAGATGTGACATCGGCATTCGCCGGCAAGATAAATTTCAAGGCATGTAACAATGCGCCTCACCCCCCCCCCCGCACGACTTGACGAATTGTCAATTTGATGTAAGAAATAAGAATACACTTGTCTCATTACAACTGTCTTGCTTGTGTTGTCTCCATGTTCCGTCTCATTTTATCAATAAGCTATTTATGCGCATAAATAGTAAATATTAGATTCTTACATACGCAAAGCACAAGCAGCACACTCGTGAATTAAACATTTGCTTTAAAATGCTGCCGCATTCATCACAATTAGACCGCAGAACACCACAATTAAATGTTAAGTCTTCAATCTAGATTTGAAGTTTTCGTGACTGCATAAATCCATACTCTTTGGTTCTTTTGGTAAAGTCACAATTGTTTATTGCTGTGGTTGTTTCCACCTGATGACTGGCACTTGTGTTGCGCCCAAAACGTCATGATTTATGTTGTACCTACGTGACTTTACCGAAAGAACCAAAGAGTATGTTAAGTCTTACGCAGCAGCTCGGTTAAGTGTAACATGTGTTGCCGTAACACCAGTGCCATCCTCACCCATGCCACCACTACTGCCATAGCCTCGGTTCATTCCGAGGTCCCTGTCAAAAACCATGTTGGACTTGTATGAATCTGGGAAAAAGTGCAGAACAAAAACATTAAAAAGGAATGGGGTTGAATACTGTATACCACCGCTGTCATTTATAGCCGACAACAATCGTTTCGGTTTACACAATTTCACATGGACGATTCCTGCAATTCAAAATGAATGGGAATCTCACATGGCGTTTGCCTTGAAAGATTAATGCAAAATATTGGGATTATCTTCGGACTTAAAAAACATAAGCATCAGCCATACATTTCAATGGCGATTCCACGAAACCAACTAGGCCAGCTAGAATCATGGTCGATTCCACCTGGACAATAGACACCCGATTTCAGCTAGTTGATACCAGCCAACCAACATTTGCAAGAATCGCAATTGAAATGTATTGACAAGGCATTGGCCATGTGTTTTCAATGTTGATTCCATGTGACTATAGCAGAGCCCCACAGATCTCAAGATGCCACAATTCTACAAATCCCATGAGGAACCGTTTTCCATCCAAGGAATGTAACTGATGATTCCAGGCTAGGAAACATGAGAATATCCCAAAGCGTAGCGGTCTCTAAAAACACTCGCGACCGATTGTTTTGGCTCACCTCCCATGCCGAGGCCCGTGCCAGTCGGCAGACTGCTAGGCATGTTGCTGCCCATGCCGCCCCGGTAGCCATCCATGCCACCCATTCCTGCGGGAGACAACAACGGGTTGTAGTCTACACACTCAGAAGGATTCTGTTTGCTGTCGAGGTCATGTACACATTAGAAATGAAAGTGCAGAAGATGTTTGAATATCACAGGTTTATCGCTCACGGTCTCAACCTATCGCGGGCAACTTCTATCAATTTAGCTATCGCTCGGGTTAGTTTTGGCATTTCGTGGGTATACTGTACCCGGAAGTAACATATCATTAGCGGGTAGCGTGGTGTGGGGCAGGCGAGGGACACGAGGCAGTCAGTGGCACCACCGTAACCTTTACAGTGCAAGCAGACAAACCCCCCCCCCCCCCCCCACCCCGTATAGCCTATTACCAGACTGTTGCGGGCAAGTGCTGTTAGCGAGCACCTATGAAGGCCGGCATGGCACACGAGGGGGTGGGTGGCAAACACCACGCCCGGCCGCCTATGTCTCACCAGTGGCGACATGTATACATCGCACCAGGTACTAATTTGAGGCCGAGACGACATAAGGGAGGTCCAGGACCGATTCAGATAATCGTCACTGGTGTTGGACGTGAGCGGGAATCGAGCTTGGGTTGCCAGGTTCATCGCGCAGCACGTTAACCATAGCACTACCGCTCCCACTCGTGGGAAAACACACACGCCCACTTTGGATCATCGTTGGCAAGTACAGTAATTATTCAGTATGGGTACTGCTATTTATTGTCGAGGAATGTTTTTTTCATAGATTGTTTACATTTTTATTTCAATTACTTAGTTTGGAGTTTATTTTGCACGCATTACAGTAATTATTTAAATGAATATATCCGCTATTTTATTATTTATTTTCATTATTTTTTCCCCCTACGTGACTTTGCCAAAAAAACCTAAGAGTATAAGTATTGAATGTCGTGGGTTTTTGGTTTCGCGGTACTTTCCAAGACGGTAACCCCCATGATATTCAAGGGTCTCTTATACTGAATGTAAAGTATTCACAAACTAGTTTTGCTGTGTTTTAATAACTTTCGAGCTACTACGTAAGTTTTGGTAAATCCTGTGTGTATCTCATGCTGCCACCCCCCCCCACCCAGATACCACCGACAATAAATGATTAATTTTCAAACAATCTTAAGCGTGTAACTGAAACCAAATAATCTATTTGAAGTGATGTTTACGCAAATAGTTTCAAAAAGTTAAGTGCTATTAGTTTTTTTGGAACAGTGATGTAAATATAGATACATGGCTGGTTATCGACTGATTAAAGAATGGCAGCCAAAGAAGGTCATATATGCCCAAGATAATAGATACTGTCAGAGATTGAATGACGAAATAGTGCACAGCAGTTAGAACGAAAGAACGTGAAAGACGTCTACTGCTTGGGGAGAACTTCCTCCAGCAGTGAATAGATTGTGCCGCCGCTGTTACTGATGATGGCGAAAGTGGTTTGTTGCATGGAATTCCGGTGGTTGCGAGTCGGCAAATGTGCGATGCCTCACCCCCAAGCTGGCCCAAGCCGCCTGCATTACCCATGCCACCCAGGCCGCCGCCATAGCCTCCTCCACCAGAGCCAGAGCCCCCACCAAGGCCGCCCATCCTGTCCATGGCTCCATACCCGGGGCTAGAGTCGAGGCCTCGAATAAAAAACCAGGCAAGCAAACGACGCATTACAAGAGTTGCAAAGTGACACCGAACACACGATGGACCAAAATTGAATTAACCGAGATGAACAACACGCATATGGTGGTTGTCCTCAACTCCGGTTCGGGTGAGCTGATCATCTCACCAAGCAAAAAAATCAATAGATGACCTCCCCTGGCAATTGTGTTGTGTCAGGCCCATCTGCCCACGCCACACTCCCTCATTCACTTACTCACTGAAATATAAATTCCATTTCCTGGCCACCATTATAAAGTCCAGCATATTTTGGATGTTCACAAATATATAGAATATTTATTTAGCGCTTTACAAAAATGGACACTTCATTGGCAGTCGATGACTAAATCAAACGGAATTCACTCGGTCTTCTCAGACCTCAGAAGCCAAGCGAAGTTGAGGCCTGAATAGTGCTTTAATCGGTGACCAGAATGCACAACGTTTTGTTATAAGCTACTGCAGGGCAACAGGGTGGGCAACAGGGTGGGCAACAGGGTAGGCAACAGGGTAGGCAGCAGATAGTGCAGCAAAATGCATTGTGCATCTACACTCCCACATCTATGCTCCCTTGCCTTCACCAACCCGTACTAACACCAGCCTGACAGAATGGTCAATTAACTTACATGACCCGAATGGCGCTGGGGGAGCTCCTCACCCAGCAGTGCATTTACAAAAGGGCTACACATTTACATATGACTGATTAACAGTTGACAATGTTGCTTCAGCCACTGAGACATAACATCAGTATGCGTGTGCACAGGTACGAGCGAGTGTGGTCCCTCACCTGCAGGCCCAGCACTTCCCATGGAGCCAATCCGAGTCGCGTCAATCGGTTGACCTCCGGGACCCAGGCCCATGCCAATTCCGCCAAGCCCATCTGCCAACACACACAGCATGTGCACACACGTGCGCTGATAAGACTTGAGATTGAAAACGGTCCAGAGTTCATCTACTGCAAGAAAACATCAGTTCAAATAAAAGGCCCATAGACCAAGGTCTGTTCGACATGTGAAAAAGGCACTTACTTGTCTGTGCAGTTTTATATCTTTATTGTTGTATTTGGAGGGAAAATGTGAGCAAGGCTTTCTGCATGAAGAACAAAGACTAATGATACGAATGACCACTGTAATGACACATCAGTCCAGCATACCAGCTCCAATGCTGCGAAATGTGTGGCATGCATGATACAAAAGAGCACCGCACAGATATAATTAAGAAAACACAACGGATAATACACACGCAATTTCCCAAGTGTTTGTGCACCTGGGTTTTTCCAATTAACACAGGTACATACGGGGAAGCTGTGCTTGCTTGTCAGCTGGGAGGAAATCGTCCTTGGGCAGCGAGCGGTCATCCTAACGGAGGAAAAAAATATATCGTGAGCCAGTGTGTCGCAGCTGGTCAAAGTACACGTGACAAAGCAGAAAATAATACAAGGACTGTATAATGCTATGTAATGCTTTCAAACGAGATTTTGTCCCTCTTAAAATATTTAATACTCAATAATATTGCCTTCTAAGCCACACGTGTTGATATCACACACGCCATGATGATGTTATGGGGAGGGGCGAGTGTCCACATGTCAACGTCATCTCTTATATGAAAAAGCTTGTCCCATAATCGCCGTTTTGAATCACGCATTAGCCTGCCCAGTTTTCTACAGGGAAAATGCCAAAGATGGACAAAACATAAAAAAAAAATGCAATCAAGTCGAATCATCTTTTCAAGATGTATCGTTGTATTCTAGATTTGAGGCTTTCGTGACTGCAAGGATTCATACTCTTAGGTTTTTTCAGTAAAGTCACATAGAAAAAAAAAATAGAAATAAAATAATAAATCACGACGTTTCGGAGGCAACACAAGCTTCTGTCTTCAGGTGGAACCGTCACAGCACAATTGCTGTATCAAGTAATACAGCACTTGAAACGTCGTTATTTATTATTTTATTTCTATTATATTTTTATTAGTTATTTTTATTATTTATTTTTTACCTACGTGACTTTACCAAAAAAACCTAAGAGTATGTATCGTTGTAGATGTAGAGCTAAAGAATTAATGTTTTCAAAACTTAGTTGAAAAGTGTTCATAAAAATGTAATAAAACTTACCATCTTAACGTGCATCTGCCGCTCAAAAAGCAATTGACCGTTGAACATGGCTGGTAAAGAAGGTTAAGGAAATCGCACGGAGCAGCGCTAAGAATATCCAACACAGCCTCATCTCGCCATCAGTCTTCATATCACCTGCAAAACTCATGATAGTCGCTTGCAGTTCAACACGACCGATTAGCACTCGCAACCTAAACGTCACACGAATAACAATTATATTTATAGGATCGATTAATTTTAAAACTTGATTTTGTTACACCTCATTTGTTCTGACCGTTGACCTCAAGGAATTAAGTCCAACACACACACGTAAACATTTGAGGATTAATAAACCCCACGCAATACCAATACCCGCCATTCAACACTAAGTGAGGGCGAAGTCACCACGGTGCCTGTGCCAGGCTAGGTGCGCTTTGAGGCCACGTGAAGTGTCTTAAGGCTCACTAACAGGAGGTCTCGGGATAGTTCCAGGAGCCACGGGTTGGCTGACTGAAATGACTGGTAGATGCACCCCGACTGTTAACTTGCTGCATTTTAGCCGCGCGGCGCTCCGCTCATAGAGAGCGCTCCTCTGCCCTCCGATGTTGCTGGAAGGCCTCCAACTGCCCAGTAGCATCCTTCACAAGCCTCCTCCATAGAGGCCGATCTTGACAGCCACCACCACTACTACCCACAATGGAGCATGAAGCCCTGTTCCCTGCCCCGTGCCCATGCTGACGCTGCGAGAGGATACAGATGGCCTGCAGCGCCTCCACGGGCTGCTCGTAGATAATGACACCCATGCCGCGGCTGCGGCCTTCTTTGTCCTCCTTGATCTCGGCGCGCTTCACCACCCCCGCCATGCCAAACACCTCCTTGATCTTCTTCCAGCCCACCTTGTAGTCCAACTGCAGAAGGGAGGGGTCGGTACATGCATTGGTCACAAGTCTAGACGCGGTGCGCACAAACATATTTGGCGCAGCGTTGGCAATAACTCCAAGAAGGACCTACGTCAAGGGGTCTAGAGACACGGTGAAGCTTCTCTGGCTCGGCATAGAATCAAAATATTTACTGGAGATATCCGATGAGCTATAAAGCTCTGGGGCACCGGGTTATTTTTCCACTGCAAAAAACTTAGCCGTGACATAAAATAACGGCGATATTCGGCCAAATTTAATAGGTGAAGTGAATATTTGGTGTGCCTCAAATGGTACCTTTTTCTGATTTGGAGCTCATGCCACCCATTACAACATAGGATCTATTTCTGTGAATAACAGTTTCTCAGGACAGCTGGGCAAGTTTAAACCTGTGATTTGTCTACAGGATTTGGGCAAGACACGAGTGAAATAGCCAGAAACTGTTTCCAGAGAGCTCAGAAACATTAAATGAATTGATACATGCCTAATAAACAGGCACGAGACGGCGCACATGCGGTTCGTTGGGTTCATGGTAGCCGGGTCGGGGGCATCTCCCGCAACTTACGTTTGTCACGAAGACCGTGGTGCCGAGGCGGCCCGACTGCAAGGCGTTGAGGAGCTCGGGCGGGATGTTGGGGTTGTTGCGCATGCTTATGGGGATGTTGACGGGGCCCCCGCTGCCCGAGGACGGCAGCTCCGTACCCATCCCGGCGCCGGGCCCACCGCCGCCCATGCCGGAATGGCCCCCCAGCGGTCCGCCCATGCCGGAGATGCTGCCCATGCCGCCCATGCCGCCGGGGCCATCCATGCCGCCCCTCATGCCACCGCCGGGCCCCGACATGGGCATGGGGCCTCCCATGATGCCAGGTCCGCCCATCCCACTCATTCCACCCATCCCGCCCATCCCGCCCATCCCTCCGGGGCCTCCGATCCCTCCCATGCCCCCGGGGCCTCCCCCCATGCCCCCGGGGCCTCCCCCCATGCCCCCGGGGCCTCCCCCCATGCCCCCGGGGCCTCCCCCCATGCCCCCGGGGCCTCCCCCCATGCCCCCGGGGCCTCCTCCCATGCCCCCGGGACCTCCCCCCATGCCGCCGAGGCCTCGGCCCATGGGTGGACCCATCATCATCATGTCGTCATGCCTGGGGCCCATGTTCCCGGCGGGGCCCATGCCGCCACCCATCTTCTGAAAGGCCCTGCGAGCCAGCTCCCCGTTGGGGTCCTGTAGAGACGCGCACATTCCGATTGACAAGGAGGCACACAAACAACTGTTTAACAGAGGGAGGTGGGGCCTTAAAAATGCATATATTGTTGTATAATCCTTCACACCAGGGCCCGATTGTCTTAAATTGAATTATAAAAAACCCCATGTAAAATAACACAAGGTTTAAAAAAATGAGTGCTCTACATTTGGATGTTGGGCAAGAATTGATTTTACACGCGGGAAAAAACTGTTGTAGTGACACCCAGATTTACACCCTCCTGATTCACATACTTGCGCTATAACCTACTCAACTTATTTATGCCCAATCCTATTTTAAGTACCGTGCACCTCGCCATAACGTACTCCAGATTTACGAACTTAGCCATTGAGCCCCAATGTTTTACGTTCCACGGCAAACATTCAGGTGCCAGATGCCCCGAGGCGCCCCCAAAAGTTTCCCCGACTGGCTATAGTCTCCTTCATGTGCACTCCATTAATATTTTTCCCCCATATATCGTATTTATGGAGACTATTTTTACACGTGCAAAATTTTTTTTTACAATAAATGAATAATACATAGTATAATAAACAAGGTAATATATCTTAATATATCAATAATATACACTTACTTTTCATACCGATGGTTGTACAGTAGGGATGCACAATGGGTTACCAAGCATCCTGTTTAGGTACGTTACAATCCACCCAACATCCTTCGATTTAAGTACTTTCGATTTACGTTCTGTTTTTCAGGAACGCATCCTAGACGTAAACAGGGGTTAATGCCTGTACATGAAGTCTGCATACAAGAGTTCAAGAACTCACTCGCTGTACTGCCACCTCTTAAGCCACAGTGTGACCCAGTGAGGGTTTTGGAGTTTCACAAATCTACGACACGCTGACCAACCCCCCCTGCCTCCAAACCCCTGGAATAGGGAGTGCATCACCGTGCCCATTACGAACCCCACAGACCAGGCCCTCCAACCCAAACGGAACACCAACCTCTTTGACATTGAGCGTGCGGCCATCAAGCAGGTGCTTGTTCATGATCTCAACAGCCTTCTTCACGTGGTCGACGTCCTTGAACTCCACAATGCTGCAAAACGCCACAGCAACGTCAATGTACAGGACAGAGCCCCGTGGCTCCATGGTGCGCGGACGGTCGAGGCACTTTGTGCTCACGTGCGCAAACGCCGGTTCAGTAGCAAAATACCAATGTTGAGGTCTGCAAGCCATAATAGAGCTGCAGGACAGTAGTTTTGCCATTCCTCCATTGCCGGTGCACAGACTAGTGGTTTACCATGTCATGCATAGTTTGTAAATAGGCTGTAAACTGCATCCGTAACTTTTTCTTTATAAATTGGTCAGACAATGGTATGTCGACAAAATGGCGAGATGAATGATCTGTAACATTATTACATTTGCACTCTCTCCACACCCAGACAATCTTAAGATTAAACTAGTGTGAAAATAACCAATGCAGTCTAATAGTCCTAGCATAATTCAAAAATGTCCCTTCATAACCTCATGTTGTTGCCTGCTCAGAAAAAGGTCCCGCCTTCATACTGTAAGCCAAATGTATATTTTTTTAAATCACGACCTAGTACTAATAATGAAGGTGGTGAGTATTTGTGTTCATCTGTGTACATCAGTGCCAAGAGTCAATTCGTTTTTTTGTTACGTGTGCTTATCACCACCTTGGTTTTAGAGTCCTGTGGCCCAGTCCACAAAGAAACATACCGATTCCCTACCACGCGGTGTTACATTACAATCAACCATCCTTACCGCACTCATCACGCAGCACCTGGTTCACAATCCTTGCAACACCAACGTTCAATATACAGGTACAGACTGACCAGTGCATGAGATGTGATATATGCAAGCTATATTATACACAAATGTTGTTTATAAATTCGAGCTATATGGGTTGACAGGAGATTCAAGGTTTGCTTTGTGGTGTAGGTGGCTTAGGGGGCTAAGACTCTTTCAAGGTGCCCGTGGTAATACCACTGATATCCCGTGTTCAAATCTGGCCAGCCACATATAATTAAACCGTGTTCAGGAAAAACAAGCTGATGGTCTAATCCTGGTCAGCAATGATTGGCTCCAAGAAACACAATATTAAAATGTGATTTTCACATTATTTTTTATTAGCCTGTGACAAACATCATTCAAGCAGAGTACGTAGTAAAGTGTAGCACCCCTGTGTAGATAAGAGGAAAATCATGCGAAATCGAATCTTTTCTTATGGCATAGACAAGAACTGGAATATCATTACATGGCGGGGGGAGATATTTAAAATGTGTGCGGTGCGTAGAAAACTCACCCGCATCCCTGTGGCAGGTAAATAAATGGGAAAACGAGTGGGGGGGACAGGAAGGAGGGGGGGGGGCACAGACGAGAAAATTAAGACTTGCGGCACAGGCGAGAATCACGTGCAATCACCCACGGACTGCTGCAGACAACGAAAACTAAAACACAACGAAAATTACACGTGCACAATGACCTCTTTCAAGGGCAAATTCATTTTAAACTTTTGTATTTGCTTTTAGGAAATTGTACAGCTTTTCTTAGGAGTTAAATGCAATCAGAAAGCAACTTTATAAGAATAGAAATTATTAAACAATTTCATAATCAAATCAGGAAGACAATGTATGAATTACAAATCTGTGCTTTGATTAAAAAATATAAATAGTACAGTTGAACCTGCTTAGACACTTGGAGCAAGGATGAGCAACCCATTAAGGGCTATTTTTATATTTAAACAGGTGTTTAAATTGCACATTAAATGTATACAGCTCATTACTTACGTTGCTTACGATGTCATCAGGCCTACATTCAACATTGAGGTAAGGCAGTTCACGAAACAGGAAAACCCACCTTTCTTGGTCATCCATTCACAGCTATGCGCTACGAAATGACTGCGCAAGTTGCCTATCTGTGCTGTAGAGATGAGGCTTATTTATGTGCAATGCAGGACAGTAATAAGCCACAGGCATCTTCGAAAATGCATTGACAATAGTCAAGAGCAGACCAAGGCCACCCGATACCATAGATAGCAAAGATCTTACTCCATCACGAGAGAGAGAGATGATAGCAAGAGCTCCATAAAGCTGGTTCCACTGTACAGGAGTAATTCAAAAGAACGCATGAATTCCAATTTGCTCTCAAGAGATCTGCTTCACCAACATGGAGTTCACCAGACAGTACTCAATCACAAGCAGATCACAGCTGCCAATTGCACCCAACCCCCCTCAACTCAAGAAATCCTGTGACCATCAGCAGTTTCTAGTAAGGGGGGGGGGTGTATTCTTCCAAGCCTCAATTCATGGCTTTACCCCCTACCTGCAGTACGCCGTTGTGCCACTTCCACGAAAAGCACCTTGTTTTCGACGTGCCACCAACGCTAGTCCATTCCAAATGTCGACAGCGCGCGTGAAACAGGGGCGTGCAAGCCGAGTGTAGCGTTGACTTAAAAAATTAAGAACTTATTTCTCTAAATATCTTGAACCCGCTGTTGTTGACCAACTGAATGTTCTTCTCAGATGACTGGTCAGACAAGAGGACCAACTTCAGGATGAGAGAGTCACAATGTAACGAGGAAACATTAACTCATTTCCCGCTGAGCAATACACTTTGTGGAAGGAAACTCACAATTTTGAGCGGAGATTTCTCTGCACTTACACAAAATGGCCCGTGAGTTACGGGAACACAATTCCCACTCGGTGCAATGAAGAGTAGTGAACCGACGCAACAAGGTGTAGAGGGGATAATAAAGTATATAAGAAGCTGCGATGGTTTCTGGATTACCCAGAGCAGCCACCACCACTTACCCTGGACTTTCCTTCTGCATCCAAAAACAGCTCCACGTATGTAACCTCACCCACTACAAACCAGATCCATCGGAGGAAAAGAGCCAGAGAGTAGCACACACGGACACATCAGCACCAAGCCACAGCCATCTGCAGGCTTGGCTCAAGCTCGAGTAAAAAGTGGGCAGATAATGAATCACCTGGGGATGAGACAACTGTTCAGCCAAACGAGAAACAACCTCCGTAGCCCAGGGCCTGCCACTCAAGCGGAAAAACCAACTGAAGGCACGGGCGCTCATCGCTGCTGATGTGAAGTCACAGCATTGGCCATTTCTTTTAAACCCAGTTCTGTTCAGGTTAGTTTCACAAACAGCGAATCTACAATAATACAAATTCTGAGCCCCAAGATCAACAAGAACTTTCAGGCGGTCACCAAGACCACAGAGGCCGTTTTACCCACCATCCCCATCATTTTTGAGATTCTTATACCTCAAAGAGAATCTCAAAGCAACCTTTGCAAATAGAGAAGTACAATGGTGATGCCGCTGGTCCAATTAAGTGAAAAAGTTCACACAGGGATAACCCGACATAACAAAATATGGAAATCCTTGCTAACGTTCCATTACGAGCGAGTGGGAAGAAGGGATTATCAGTAGCCATCACATTGATTATAAACTGTCACAAGTGCCACTTTGGGAAGCAGAATGCCTGCGACACTCGACCACAACAACTGCAGTCCACCTGTAGGCAAAAAAAAAGGCAATCATCCGTTACTTCTCGGAATGACAGCGTGCAAAAGGCAACCTTCCACCCCTCGGGGCCACCAGGCCCACCCACCCCACACACCTCACCACCACAATATCACTGCCAACAAACACCAAGAGGTCTTATTCGCAGCTCAGCAACAGAGCTGCTTACACCAACGTCAAACAAGACTTCCTCAACCACTGCCAAATCCAAACCCTGCTGCAGCTCAATAGAACAGCACAACTGGTGGCTAATGTCTTTTTAAAACCCCTGCAGCATTAAACGTGGCACAAAAACCACAGCACGTCAACGCCCTCAAAAGGCACTGCGTCCACCACTTTGGGGGGAAGAGCGCTCAGAAATGGCCACTCCTGGAGTCTCTTTCCTGCCGAAGTCTAAGGGATGTCAGTGCGTCGTCTGTCGCGTCATTCCAGTCAGGGGCCATCGGGGGGATTGTGCAGTAGTAGCATCATCTGTCCCGCCGCACCTCTCTCGCGCATCAGATCCTTGATCGACTGCCACTTCATCTCGTAGGGGATGTTGCTGATGTAGATGCGGTTCCCCGTGCTCCTGCGGTCCATGGTGCGCCCTCCACGGGGCCCACGGCCAAATGGCTCAAAGCGGTTCATGCGGTTGTACGGTTCGAAGCGGCCACCGCGACGCCCGCCGCGATCCTTTTTCATGTCCTTCTGCACATCCTTCGACTTCTGGCTGCTGACGAGAACAAAGGCAGTGGCGCACAAACGCAATGGTAATCAATAGAGAAGGAAATATCCCAAAAAAGAATAGCACTTGACTATTAAATGCATGGATGTGTCAGAGATCCGGTGACATGTGCATGACAATGAAAATAAATCGTCTTCTCATTAACAAAACCTAAATCAAGATACATGATCTAGGAAACTAATTACAAAGGAAATTGTTTTTTGGATTTGATTTCCTCTATTACAAACGAGTAAAGGGAAACATTCATCTCCTGTTAACGGTATTGAACCAATGGTGTAAATTCTACATTCCTATGGTGAGGCACTTAACCACCCTATACTTCTCAAAACATTTTATTTCATTCATTGACTTTGTAAGGATGAATGGTGGAGTAAATATTAAACAGAAATTTAAATGCACAACCTACCTATTGCGAGCCACGCACACTTAGCAACTACTATAAATTTGGCCAATTTTAATCAACATAAAAATGCTAATTTTCAAAAACATTTCCATAAAAATATAACAGTTTCAAGGAATAGCCCTTCTTCATAGAGCATGAGAAGGGTCATTGCCGAAAACATAATCAAAAATATCTTTTACATTTTAGGAGAATGGCCTTGAGGAATGTGTTGAGTTTTTCTATTGCTATTGTGTTTGTGCACCACTGCAAATGCAGCATCATCAAAAAAAATGCTCTTCATAATATTACATCAATTCATTTGCAGTTAAGGTAGAATGTAAAAGTAAAAGCATTTGGGCGACAGACTCTTCGCCATCTCGAGTTCAGATGGACATTGCAAACACCTTTGGTTTTTTTCGGAAAAGTCACGTAGGTAAAAAATAAAAAAAAATGAAAACTAAATTAAATCGTAACAGTTCCACCTGAAGACGGAAGCTTGTGTTGCCTCCGAAACGTCGTGATTTAATTTAGTTGTTTTCATTTATTTAATTTTTTACTCATTCTGCTTGGTGTGCCTTGCTTACGAATAAAACTATATTCGGCGAGTCATGAAATCCATTTAATTTATTACAGCAAAAGCTCTGCTTGTTATCCGGCACTTTACCGCCTGGAATGCTGCATTATTAACCGTCACAGACGGCTCAACAAATCTTCCTTAACGTATCCAGAAAACTGCGACAGCCATCCGGCTCATCACAGATCTTTCGCTTACGGCAGCTTCAGGACGCTATCAAGTGGTGGCGCTAGCGGCAGTCTGTACACACAGTACTGTACTAATGTGTATTGTACTCTTGTTAAACGGCCACACTGCTTCTCTACGAACTTCAAATACTCGACAACCGACTAGTGAGTACCGCTGCAGCCGTTTATTTCTCTTATACCGTAGTTAAAATGCAGGTTCGGTTTCTTTCGTGAATGTTTAATGTACTTGGAAAATTTGGTGAACCGGATATTTGATTAATCGGCACCCTCCATTCCCCATGGATGCCTATTAATAGTAATCACTGGAGCTACGCCACTTTTACATAATCTAGATGGAAACTAACTTCCTGAGAGCTGCTTTTTGTGTGTAGTTTGTCGTCCTTCCCCCACACCACGGATTAGGGCGGTCGCTAAATACGGGTCAAAAGCTCAACACGCGTAACATAAATTTTGCTGTATGATTTTTGTTTATCGAGGAAAGCATTACAGTCTCACGAGTTTTTTTAGGAGGGTCCTACCAAGGTTTTGCATAATCCTTATGGAGTACTTTGTGGGTAACTTATCAAATTTGTATCTTAACGGCAGAAACAAATGTGATATTTAACGTCTGATGCAATGGAGGCGGTATTTCATGGTAAATACACCGGCTGTAATAACCAGTGCGGCCGCTGGATTTTAACCATTAAATCACTGCAACAAGACGTGAACCGATCTCGACAAAGAGCATGACCCATCCACGCAAACTCCGGTCATCCTCGCAGCGGCTTTTGGCTAACCAAGGAACAAAGACCGCCACCGCATCGTGCGCTTTCCAAAGTGCGCTTTTGCGGCCCTCTGGAAACGCTCTTCCT